TAAGCGCGGTCATGGTCTTGGCTGACTGCTTGATCGAAGCATGAACAACGGCGACGACTATTACCGGGGTATAAGTTATGCATTTTAAACAAAGAAAGTTGGTTACGCACTAAAGTCGATAAGCATGATAGTGGCAGTCCACCCCAACTCGAACCACACAGTCGACACAAGCTTGAAGGCGCCGATTGGATCCCGATATCTTTCTCAAGTCAGCACTTCACATTTCTACCTGCAAATTCGACTTACCCTACGAGGCCGAAGAGGGGGACTAAAACTCCTGTGGTGATCGCCACAGCGAGGCAGCCATATGTCGCAGAGGGAAAGACGCGGTTGACGATGGTTGGAATGGCCACAATAGCAGTACCCAAATGTAAAAGAATGACACAAACTATATTTGCCAACGGCGGGCTGGTTGAGCCAACAGGCACCCCAAAAAACAGTAAAACAGCTACTGACCATACAAAAAGTCGCGAAAGAGGAGGAACTTCTCAGAAGGAGTTGCAGTCGTTTGATCTGCTTCAGGTGTCTCAAAAAGGCCACGCTCGGTGTCTTGCTGTTTTTCGTTCAAAGTCATGGTGGTGAAAATAAGTGGGCGTTCAGTCTTGCTGGTCGTAAAAAAAGTAAAAGGTCGTGAAAAAAGGGGGAAAGTGGATTTTAAAGCCTTCCCGAGGCTGAGAGGAGGAGAGGGAAAGAGCTTGAGGGGAGGAAGGAGATATGTTGCTTTGTTCCTTCAGGGGCGGCCAGCCGGCCAGTGGATCCTGCCACCACGTGTATCAACAACCCTAAAGGCGGCGAATCAGGCCGAATCCCGCTCTGCAGGCCAAAAAATATCATTAAAATGTTTTTTTTTACAGTATCTAGTGTACAATGTCGCATTCAAAAAGCAAGATCTAGTATATCATGACGCTGCCTTTGATGTCCCAGGTAGAGGAGCTGCCTTCCGTCTAGCTGTTTTGATACCCAAACTATTGGCCAGCGCGGTCTTGGGCTTCTTTGACGGAGGCGGTTG